TGCCGTGTAATGAACTGGTCATTAATCCTTACGAAATCGAACGAGAGGCTGTCTAGTGGCCCTGTTTTGCACAGATTGCAGCACCAGGTTGCTAAGGTCGCCACTTCCTTTGTCGTCGGACCTTTTTTCCCTAGCAAAGACTGTTCTCATTATTTCACTCAATTGTCCTAATTTTCTCATATCTCTATGTAATATGAGACAGAGAAGAATAACAGAATAAAACCGCTGGCATTCCCCTAGGGAACACTTTGATGCTGTAACAAACAGCTTTGTAAAAAGTCAAAGCTGGCTAATTGAAATATCTCTATGTCCTCTAATATAGTATTAAATGAGATGAAAAATTCTTCACTTTGGATGTACAGTGGATCACAGAAGAGTTTGTAAGTGTTGACTGCGCAAACATTGTGTTACTGCCCTACCAGGCACACTAATTATCTAACCGCTTCAGTCTCCAACTGCAGTGTTGCTGTGAGCCCAAATGAGTTTTGAACTGTTGAAGCTGTGCTTGAGTGTCTAATCATAAACGGGCTTGTACTCAGTTCTGAGCTCCCTGTCACAGTGACATTGTGGTGTGGAGAATAAGATCTTTTAGATGTCTAATTTGAGGTCTCAGAATTGAGAATAGGGCCTGCGTTTGTAGTAAAGCAGACTTCACCTTAACCAGATGTCCACTTTTTAACACCTGGTTTTGGCATGAAACAAGAGGAGACTTATGGGAGTGTGGCTGAATGTGGATATTAAGGAGAACATTTAATGCTTTGATGCTACCAGGGATGTTTTCTCTTATCTGTGGCATGCTGTACTCTGAAAGCTGTTTCATAAAGTTACCATTTGCTTTCTGATTGGTCTGTGTTCCTTGGGTTTTTTTTTTCCTTTAGTATTCCTTTCAGGAGGAGGTCCAGAAGAAACCATTGCCCAGTGCTGCCTCCCAGTGTTGTAAGTTAGACTTTTTCTTCTCAATATTTTTTTCCTCTTCCAGTGTACTTTATTTCCTTCTCTCAGTGTACTTTATTTTCTTGTTAGAAGTACGTAAATCTCTGTGAAGCCAATAACTTTTGTCAGTTATGAAAAACTGTGCCCCTCAAATGTTGGTCTAAAGCTTCTGATGCTAGAAAGTGAAATCAAGCATTGAGTCTTTAACCTGTTTGTGTCCTCATGTGCAATAGGAACACAAAATGTGTTCAAAGTTGCCTAGATTGTCAGACCCCTGTAATACTGATGCAAGTAAGAAAATGCTGCGTTTTTTCATATAACTTAAGTCGGGCTATGTTCTCTTTAAACATAGTGTGTTGAATATTATTTTTATGACTTTTTAATGAAATTTTAAGAGGAAGAGAACAGATGGAGACAGGTACTGCTGGTAGCCTTTTAAAATGCACCAGAGGTTTGTGTACTTGATGCCTAATTTCTTTGACATTACTTTTAAATGCTGTGTTGATGGATGAAAAATATTTTCACTAATTTCTGCTTATCTCATCTTGCATTTTTTTATGCTTCTGAAAACACAGATGGAAAAATAACCTAGGACATACTGTATCTGATGGTCTGCAAAATTAGATTTCTGAAACACTGCTTTTAATGTACATGAGATGAAAGCTCAATGATGTCTCTTAGAATGTCTTACCTACTTTTGGCAACAACATTAATAAAATTCGAGTCTCATAATTTAAGCAAATCTTTTGTCCTCCACTTCAAATCCTGTAAGACGTGCATCTTACACTTTGCAGGCTCTTTATCCATTAGGCTTATTATAGGATCTCTACAAAACTGTAACATTAGGAAATGTTAATTACTGTTTACCTTTTTTGAGTAGAATTAATTTATCTGTGTACTGTTACTATGTTATCTTAAAACTATCTTCAACCAAACATGGACATTAACCAATTGCCTAGGAAATCTGAATGTGTTGTTTAGCTGGAACATATACAAAGCTATTTGAAAGTATTCCGGCAGTGGTACCCTAGGTAACACCAAATGTGTCCTCCCTTTTTTTAGAAAAAAAAAAAAGCACTTTTACTTTGTTTGTTTGTTTTTAAATAGTCAGAAGAGTACAATTGATTTATAAAGCGTATAAATAAGAAACATTGCTGGTGAAACTAATATTTGACTTTTGACAAGTTTTGGCTATTTGACATACTAGCATAGTATGCAGAACCCCTAATGTCAAAAGATCAAAGAAAAACAGTCTGATATGAAGTGTCCAAGAAATGAATGTGTTATTTGCTGAAATGACTTTCCTGGCTATGTGCCCTGGACTTTGCTTTTGTTTGAGAGAGTCTGGTTTGATTGACTCTTCTAAGTATTGGCATGTATGGATAAATTAGGAGGAATGCTTCTGTGTAGGGGAAGCACCTGTTCCCACAGCATGGTGCTTTTACAGCCTCAAGCTCTTGTAGCCGGTTTCTTCCCTGGAGGACCAGCTCAGCTCTTGCATATAGACATAGTAAAGAGTAGAGCTGCAGCTGCCTTTTTTGTGTTGCCTGTTAACAGCCTGCATCTTGATAGAAAGTGACCTTTTACAATAATTAATTGAAGGCCCCTGGTTTGAACAATTAGTATTGCATAAGAATTCATTTAATCATTTATGGGTTTAAAACAGTCATCAGAATTGATGTTAAATATTTAATAGCAGTATGTGGTTAATGTATTTAAGAATTTTCTAGTAATTCAATAAAGCTTGTGGCACTGCATGTACTTTTGCTTATCTATTGCCTGCAAGCATCCAACATCTATGAATATCTAATTATTTACATGGACAAATATAAAATAGACATTTAGTGTAGAAGTACTTTTGAAAAATGAACTCTGCCTGCATCAATCTATGCATAAGAATTGTAAGCTTGCCTGAATGTAGCATAGTCCTTTGGAACTCAAGAATTCAACCCAGAAGATGTGTTGATTGTGTCTCTATTGAAAGCTGACCTGACCTTTGCATATGATGTAGGAGCTCAACCCCCTTTTACTTAGGAGCAGGGTGGGTGTCCTTCCCTAACCTAAAACACATTGAGTACGGAGTGTTCTTACTTAAATAATTGATAGATATATTTTTAGGTATAATAAAAAATATCTTCAAGAACGTTTGTAAGACTCATCTAATCTTCCATTACAACATGCTAGATGAGATGTGATCACTGCTGGGAGCAGGACACAATCAGCTGGACAAAAGACTAGGTACCTAGAAAGAGCAAAAAACCTCCCGAGTATGAGTAGTTTTTGCCCCATGAGAATATCTTCCCAAATCCTAAAAAATACAAAGTTATCTTAAAACCTGATGCACTGTAGAGCAAAAGTACAGCAAAACACTCCATATAGCTTGCGTTTCAAGAAATAATGATATAAGTGCACATGCCACTGGTGTCCTGCTTAGCCCTCTTGCCCTCTCGCTGGCTTCTTTGTTCTAGCTAGAGAAAATCCTACTCCAGCAGGAGCGTCAGGTTCATTAAATGGGAAAATACACATCCTTACATGTTAAAATTAGATTATATTTCTGCCCTGTTCTGCTTCTATGTTTTCCATACATGTCTGGTCCCTTTCTCAAACAGCCTTTTCTCATGGTTATTTCCCCATCTCCTGCATGGGTGCAACTTGTTCTGTTATCTCCCCTGAGTAGGGAGGGGGAGAAGGATGGAGCAGGATGTGAGAGAAGAAAGCTGAGCCATGTCTGAAAGCCAGCATCTGATGTGTGAAGGTGGGGTTTAATCTCTGGTCATGTGTGGGCTGCTGCCTTGGCATAGTGCCATGCGGAATCTCAGCCCAGACTACGTGCTCTAATTTTTCTGGACATTATGAAGCGTTCAGGCCCACTTTCACAGTCTCAGGTGCTGCTTTGTTCATAGAAGAGTCTGACCCATGATTTCCGAGGTGGTGCAGGATTCGGGCTTCCTACCTATTCTTAAATGAAGCAGGTGGGTCCTGTTCTTGTACATGCAGTCTCTTCTAAGCCCTACCGATTTTGGTACTTCCTGCCTCTTCCTTCATCATACTTAGCCATTTCGTTTTTACCTCCCAACTTCTGTGCTCCCCTATATGTTTCTCCTGCCCCAGAAGGATCACATGCTTCCAATTGATTTAACTTTCAGTGATCTCAAGCGATAAGCAAAGCACTATAGTGGCCATGGATCCAGTTGTGTTTGCATTTCTATTAAACGTAATCGTAATTCTTAATTTCCTGATACCTCATTGTTGGATAACTGCAGCATCCTTATATTGGCTTTTACCTGCAACCTGAAACTGAATGTAAATTAAAAAGAAAGCAAGCTTTTATTGTCGGGAAATTCACTTTAAATGAAGCAGATTGAAAAAATGTTATTTGATTACTTTGGCATTCATTGGGTCAATAAGCTCTAAGTTATTTATTGTGGTAGGTATAGATTTATTTTCCTCGTATGCCCAAGATCATTTCTGGCAATATAAAAGTCCATTATAATCTGTAAGTGAGTCACTCTGTCAGTATTTTAAACAAAGCTCTGACTTGGAGCAGACGTCGTACAAACAGGGGTGAGAAAGGTATTCTGCATCTTTGCAGAAAAGATTCGGCAGTCTCAGTTAATATCAGCTACTGTAAATACTGTCCTGTACCTTTTGTCAGGGAGTTTACAAATCTGGAATAGAGCAGGTATGTTCAGTATGATTCTCAGAAAAGATAACCTAAGTGCCACTGAATCAACCAGTTATGTCTGTCGTCTTATCTTTGACTGAAAATCTTTCTAAGAATGCTTTATCCTCCCTTCTCTGCATATATTTTTTTCTTCCACTTCCTTGAGTCTGTGGTGTTGCTTTTTTCACAGTAAGACCCTGATAGACCACAGTGCACCATAGTTCTGTCTTGCATGTCTTTTGCTCTGTAAAATCCCTGTCTACCAGGGCTGTGGGGTTTTTTTTATTGTAGGTTTTCTTGTTGTTTTTTTTTTCCCCAGAAGAAAGTAAATTTGTTGCTTGGCTCTGGATTGTGAGTTGGTGCAACAGGGAAAGAAGTAACTTTTCTGATGCACTGTTATACCAGCAAAAAGAACCAAAGCTAGCCTGTGCTTGGTCTGCCAGCAAATCAGAGAGAAAGGAGAAAGACAACATCTCCTCCAGGAGAATAAGAAGGAACCCTAAATCCTATCTGGAATGTGTGTGTGTGTGTGTATGTGTGTGCGCACATGCATGCAAGAAAAAAATGCTACAGTTTTGTTGTAGATACATAAGCAGCCTTTTAACTACTTAAAAGCTTGCAAAACGTTTTATACACATTATAAGAATGGGTGCCATTCGATGCCAGATCAATTTGTTGTGTTGACCCTTCTTTCCCACTAATATGTGAAGAAATCTATTTCTGCAAAATGTGTAAAGCAAAATTCTGTTAATACCTACACATTCACTACTGTTTCAAAAGTACCAATGGCTGACTTTGAGAGTTTTCATTCCTGATGCCCGTTAGTTTTCTTTTTAGGAGCTCAAGTTCCACCGATGCATCAGGAAGGCTTGTACGTTCCTCTGTGTAGACTGACTCTAATGCAGAGATTTCGGTGCTTTCGGTGCTGAGATGAGGAGCTTTGCTAAAAAGCCAGATGGCTGCCTTCCCTGCCCCCGGCTCCCCAGCAAGCCCTGATAACATCCACACCGATTTTGTGTTGAGGGTGCTGCACTGTGGATGCTAGCATCTTTATGCTGCCATTAATGTGCCGTTGGGTTGGGGCTATCAAACCCTGCTGCTAGGATTTCCACAGCACAGATGGTACGGTTCTAGCAGAAGCAGTGGCACCAAGTGCACAGATCTGGGCAGGCTGTGGGTCCAAGGCAGCTGGGTAAAGCTCTTGCTTAAAGGGCGTGGTTGGCAGGATATGCGATTGCAGCCTGTTTTCATGGAATGAAGTCATAGCCATTCAGGGTTACATGTGCACTCACTTGAGCATGCCATCTTGTGCTGTTGTTGAATCCTTTGGTTTGTTCTA